ATAATAATAATAATAATAATAATAATAATAATAATAGAAGAAGAACTAGTTGGGATCCCCAGGTGGTGCCATCTGCTGCTGGCATCCCCTTCCTCCAAAACATAGAATCATAACATCAACCTGTTCTGTACCCTATACCAATCCCACCCCCCTATGTACACCATGGTTAGAGTTCCCCATCCATTGTTTGCCTCAAATCAGCCTTCTGCTAATGTGGTATTCAGTTGGGCACCACAACTGAAAGAAGATGTTGACAAGCTGGAATGTGTCCAGAGGAGGGCGACTAAAACGATGAAGAGTCTGGAGAACAAGCCCTATGAGGAGCGGCTTAAAGAGCTGGGCATATTTAGCCTGCAGAAGAGAAGGCTGAGAAGAGACATGATTATAGCCATGGATAAATACGTGAGGGGAAGTCATAGGGAGGAGGGAGCAAGCTTGTTTTTTGCTGCTTGGGAGACTAGGATGAGAAACAATGGTTTCAAACTATAGAAAAGGAGATTCCACCTGAACATGAGAAAGAACTTCCTGACTGTGAGAGCTGTTCAGCAGTGGAACTCTCTGCCCCGGAGTGTGGAGGAGGCTCCTTCTTTAGAGGCTTTTAAACAGAGGCTGGATGGCCATCTGTCAGGGGTGCTTTGAATGCGATTTTCCTGTTTCTTGGCAGGGGGTTGGACTGGATGGCCCACAAGGTCTCCTCCAACTCAATGATTCTATGATTCTATGGACCACTGTTTGGGGAGGATGGGGATTGTAATCCCAGTTGGTTAAGCTTTTGTTGGGATCTTTCCTCAGAAGGTCCCTTTAAGAGCCTCCCCAGGGGTGCCAGCTTAATATACTTGCTGCAAAACCTCTGCTATACCATGCCCACAATCCCTCCCCACACACTTTATGCCATGTTTCGAATTCAGCATTCATGCTTTGTCTGAAATCAGCATTTTGCTAAAATTGTGCCCTTTTGGACCACTGTCTGGGGAGGATGGGAGTTGTAATCCACACCACTGGAGGCATTGGATAAAAAGATCCTATCTTTGGCATCCTCAGTATTAGTTTCTCAAAGAGATGCTTTTTAGACCAGCTATTATATCAGGTCAGTGTTTCCCAACCTAGGGGTCAAGTCCCCGGGGAGTGGGGGTTGCAAGGGGGTGTTAGAGGGGTCGCCAAGACCATCAGAAAACACAGTATTTTCTGTTGGTCATGGGAGTTCTGTGTACCAAGTTGAGTTCAATTCCATCATTGTTGGAGTTCATAATACTTTGATTGTAGGTGAACTATAAATCCCAGCAACTACAACTCCCAAATATCAAGGTCTGTTTTCCCCAAACTCCACCAGTGTTCACATTTGGGCATATTGAGTAATTGTGCCAAGTTTGGTCCAGATCTATCATTGTTTGAGTCCACAGTACTCTCTGGATGTAGGTGAACTACAACTCCAAAACTCAAGGTCAATACTCACCAAACCCTTCCAGTATTTTCTTTCGGTCATGGGAGTTCTGTGTGCCAAGTTTGGTTGAATTCAATCATTGGTGGAGTTCAGAATGCTCTTTGATGGTAGGTGAACTAAAAATCCCAGCAACTCCAACTCCCAAATGTCAAGGTCTATTGTCCCCAAACTCCACCAGGGTTCACATTTGGGCATCTTGAGTAACGTGTGAATGTTTCAATTGGGTGCCTTGATTAGCAGTTAATGACCCAGCAGTTTCAAGGTCTGGCTTCTTACTGCCTAGGGGAAATCTTTGTTGGGAGGTGATTAGCTGGCCCTGATTGTTTCTTGTCTGGAATTCCCCTGTTTTTGTTGTTCTTTATTTAGTGTTATGAAACCTACCTCCAACAGACAAAGAGTTCTTTCTCCCACTCTGGACATTTCCACAGATATATAAACCCAATTTTCCTAGTTTCCAACAGACCTCACAACCTCAGAGGATGCCTGCCATAAATGCAGGTGAAACGTCAGGAGAGAATGCTTCTGGAACATAGCCATACAGCTTGTAAAACTCACAACAAACCAGTAATTGTTTATAATCTCTGCGGGAGGAAGGGGTTAAAAAAGAAAAGCGAGGAAAATACATTTTTACTTCTCTGATTCCAAGCCTTGTGGAGGTTGTCTCCCACCCCCACATTCTCCAAATAGCCTGTATTTTTGGGATGGCTTACGCACTTTCCAGCAGGTGTGTGGGATGGGAAAGCGAGGGCAAAGCTCTAATGCTCTCCCCTGCTTACTCTGTGGGCTTCCAGGGAGAAACAAAGTACAACTGAAAGCAGGTGGGAGGAAGAACAAAAAAGGAGATTTAAATGTAGCTTTAGATCTATATATTTATGCTAGAGTTGGAAGAGACCTCATGGGCCATCCAGTCCAACCCCATTCTGCCAAGAATCAGGAAAATCACATTCAAAGCACCCCTGACAGATGGCCATCCAGCCTCTGTTTAAAAGCCTCCAAAGAAGGAACCTCCACCACTTTCCAGGGCAGAGAGTTCCACTGCTGAACAGCTCTCTCAGTCAGGAAGTTCTTCCTAACGTTCAGATGGAATCTAATTTCTTGTAGTTTGAAGCCATTGTTCCACATCCTAGTCTCCAGGGAAGCAAAAAACAAGCTTGCTCCCTCCTCCCTATGACTTCCTCTCACATATTTATACATGGCTATCATGTCTCCTCTCAGCCTTCTCTTCTCCAGGCTAAACATGCCCAGCTCTTTAAGCCGCTCCTCATAGGGCTTGTTCTCCAGACCCTTGATCATTTTAGTCGCCCTCCTCTGGACACATTCCAGCTTGTCAATATCACTCTTCAATTGTGGTCTAACCAAGGCAGAATATTGGATGTCGTCTCTCTGCATGCTTATTTGGATTTGTATGTACGTTTAAATACAAACAGTTGTTTATAATATATAATAATATATATCCACAGATATATAAACCCCATTTTCCTAGTTTCCAACAGACCTCATAACCTCTGAGGATTTTTTTTTTGTCGTGTCAGGAGCGACTTGAGAAACTGCAAGTCGCTTCTGGTGTGAGAGAATTGGCCGTCTGCAAGGACGTTGCCCAGGGGACGCCCGGATGATTTGATGTTTTTGTCATCCTTGTGGGAGGCTTCTCTCATGTCCCCGCATGAGGAGCTGGAGCTGATAGAGGGAGCTCATCCTCCTCTCCCCGGATTCGAACCTGCGACCTGTCGGTCTTCAGTCCTGCCGGCAACCCAACAAACAGTAATAGATGCTCCCTCCACTCTATGATTTCCCCTCATGTATCTATACCTGGCCCTCATCATGTCTCCACTCAGCCTTCTCTTCTGCAGGCTAAATATGCCCAGTTCCTTAAGCCGCTCCTCATAGGGCCTGTTCTCTAGACCCTTAATCATTTTAGGCGCCCTCCTCTGGACACATTCCAGCTTGTCAATATCTCCCTTCAATTGTGGTGCCCAGAATTGGACACAGTATTCCAGGTGTGGTCTAACCAAAGCAGAATATTGGGTGTCGTCTTCTCTGCATGCTTATTTGGATTTGTATGTGCATTTTAATATAAACAGTAATTTATAATATATAATAATATATTGTCGAAGGCTTTCATGGCCAGAATCACTGGGTTATTGTAGGTTTTTTCGGGCTATATGGCCATGTTCTAGAGGCATTCTCTCCTGATGTTTCGCCTGCATCTATGGCAAGCATCCTCAGAGTTAGTGAGTCCTCACTACCTCTGAGGATGCTTGCCATAGATGCAGGCGAAATGTCAGGAGAGAATGCCTCTAGAACATGGCCATATAGCCCGAAAAAATGACAACAACCCTATAATAATATATATCCACAGATATATAAACCCCATTTTCCTAGTTTCCAACATACCTCACAACCTCTGAGGATGCCTGCCATAGATGCAGGCGAAACGTCAGGAGAGAATGCTACTGGAACATGGCCAATACAGCCTGGAAAACTCACAGCAACCCAACAAACAGTAATAGATGCAGATAACCTGTTTTCCTGATAATAAGACCTCCCTAGCATGATTTTTTGCTTGAAATATAAGCCCTAGTTACTGTTCACTATTTAAAAAGTCAATTTTAATAGCATCCAGACTGCTATACATAAGCCCTAAAACATATTTTGGAGCAAAAAGGAATATAAGACCCTGTCTTACTTTCGGGGAAACAGAATATATGTATTGTATTCTGTCAATAGCAGAGCTGGCATGATGGAGAGCTTCCTGCTGGGATGTGGAAATGCATTGGGTGGCAGC